ACACACACACACACACACACACACACACACACACACACACACACACACACACATATACACATATATGTATATGTGTATATATACACACAAATATATACATAATATGCAAGCATACACACACACACACACACACACACACACACACAGATTTGGTGTGTGTACATTTGTAACATTTTGATAGTACATTTGTAAAAATATATTTAGGAATACATGGATATTTTGACAAATGACATATATATGATATATATATGATATATATATGATATATATATGTTATATATTTATTATATATATATATATATATATATATGCATAGAGAGAGAGAGAAGTTTTAGAGTAAATACTTAACTTGATGGTTTAAAAATCTAAGATAAAGAAGTAATCAAGTATTATTTCTCATTTATCTAAACAAATATATTTCAGTTTATTTTCATTTTATATGTGCAAAATCACATAATATATATTATGTGCACAAGAATGTGTATTACATGTTCACAAGATCACAAGAATGTGTATTACATGTTCACAAGAATGTGTATTACATGTACACTATAATGTGTATTACATGTTCACAAGAATGTGTATTACATGATGGGTACAAGCTAATTAAAATAAAACAATTAGTCTTTATACAAACAGGCCCCTTAAAATGTTTGAGAAAAAGCCCTCATGACATCATCATTGTGAGACTGTGCAGAAACACAAGCTTCTGAGGTTTTTAAAGTTTTCTTAAACATGAGAACAGTGCATAAAATTGTTAATGGTTTAGCACTAATCTGTTTTCAAATATTTGTTTTTCACCGTTCACCTGTCTCTGCGCTCCACCAGTCTATCCTAACAGAACTATTATTCCTGTTCAACGTTCAGCCTTTTCTCTGTTGCAGCCATCGCTCAACTGACTGCTGCTCCTGAGCATGTAAAATCTGCCAGTTACTTTATTGGTTTTAAAAATATTATGGAGAAATATCTGAAACCTACTCAACACTGCAATCACTAAATTATATTAGGTAATCAATCATATCACTTACTTTTTAATAGCAAGGGGAGTGGACATTGTTTGGTACAATTGTTTGGTAAAGAACTTGTTGTTTCTTTGCGTTTGGACGTTTAAATGTTTATATAACGTTATTATTTCTGGTGTAGTGCATCAAATGTTTGTACATTTACGTTATAATTGCACACCGTCTGAAATAAATAAAATGAATTGAACTGAAGTTAGCTTAACTATTTGATAAATGTTTTTCTTTGGAATTTGTAGGAAAGATATTATGTAATTGAGCCAGATTAAGTTACTAGCACTGCAAGCAAGGAAATCATATTTATCAAGTTGCTTCAGCTAAAATGGCGTAACCAGACACAAAACTGCATTGATTTCATCATCAGGTCGGCTGCTAACTGGTTCGAGCTCGAAGGTGCAGCCGACTGTTCGGCATCTTTCCAGGACTTTGAAAGCTGATCGGGCCTCCAACAATCCGTGCAAAATTCATACTCAATTACGTAACGCGAGTTTAGGTTATTTGTTATCTTCCACCTCTGCTTTTGTTGTGTCAACCGCACTTCTCTTCACTGGCAAACAAAACACTATTGTCAGTGCACTGCATGGAGTTAAACAAGACTCTTACAAAAACAACATTCCAAAAATGTTTTCAGTCACGAACCTAAGATCATATTTTAAAACAAAGCAATGAACAGTTCACATTTACAAAAGCAATTATAAAAAAAACAACAAATCAAAATAACAGAAACATTTGTTATAATAAATCAAAAGAAGTGACCAAAAAATGCTATCCAGAAAGTAAAAATCCATGTACTTACATTCACAAAGTCTCCTCCTTGTATCATGAAGTCTTTGATCACCCTAGAAATATCAAAATTATTAAGGTGATGCTTTAAATTTGCAGTTCTGGACAAACTGTACAGACATGCTACCATATAAGCCTTTTCACTTTTATTCTCACAATTCAGTTTAATTATATCGCACCACAACAGACGTCCTCTCAGGGCACTGAATAAAAACATTCCCGTACATTATAATTGCTAATTAAATTCAATTCAATTAGTAAAGTTATCTATCTAATCAAGCCATCAAAAGGACTCAATGTGTACGCAACACCTTTTTTTTTTTTAACAGTCTTTGAATTAATCCTGTCAAGGTGCACCACATAAATACACAATGACAGTTGTACTTGTTTTTCCCTCCTGCTGACGGAAACAAAGTATTTCCTGTTGACAGATTAAATTAACAAAACTGACTTTAACACCTGAGGCTAACAAACTGATCTGTCAGTTCCTCTTTGGCCACAGCCCTCTTACTCAGAAGTTTCAGCTTTTACAAAGAAACTCAACCAACTTCACTTTTTCAGTTTAAGGTTCTAACAAAAACAAAAAACAGGAATCTAATCGCAAATAACTAACATGATTTAATCATCACAACAGAAAATTCATTCAACCAAGTTCCTGGAATGAGCATGATAAAAGAAGGGGCAGAGGCAGGTTTGGTTATTTGTTTAATAGTTTTCTCTAAAGCAAACCTGTGTATTTAAATTAAATGTTTTAAATATTCACAAATAAATCACATTTTATTCGATTCATTTGTCTTTTACCATTCGTGCTCACTTCCTCCCAAGAGAATTAAAAAAAAAAACCCATAAAACTCCACCAGTGAATTATTTACTTTGATTTCCTTTTCTTTCCGTACATGTGGCCTTTTGTGAGGCGCTTTCATCAATTTGACGTTGTGGATTAATCCGAAGACAAAAAACTGAAATGAGGATTAAAGACAGAAAGCAAAGCTCAAAGGAATCCAAGAGTGCAGCCACTTATTATTATTCTCTGAATCAGCTAGGATGGTTTTGGAATACGATACCTCCTGAGAGGGAAGATCCTAATGTGAAAAGACCCAGACTTGCTGTGAAGATTAAATAATAATACAACTAAGTTGGGACCAGAGCTGCACATCATCACAAATGTATCATCATCTCAATATCAGTGAGGGCAATATCAATACAGCAAAGGTCTTATTGGACTGCAGTTGCACAGGTCATTATATTTCAAGTTCCATCATTCATGTTCTGCATAGTGATATATTTAGTCAATACAATGGACTCTCAATAGTCTTGATGCTCACACCTGGTTAGATAATCGTGATGACAAAAGAGAAAGTAATAAGTGTAAAAAATAAAATATAATAATAGAAAAAAAATAGAATTACCTTTATTGTCAGTATACAGAATGTACTGTATGAGATTGAGGAGCTACTCCATTTTAAGTGCATGGCAAATGTAGACTAACTGGGTTCCAAAATAGAAACATCAATGCTATATAAGTGTAAATAAACAAATATGCATGTGATATAAAAATATAGACTATAAATGAAAGTATATCAAACAGAGGTGGATATTGTGCATTGTTCAGACGGTCTAAACCAGGGGTGCCCAGTATGTTGATTGCGATCTACCGGTCGATCGCAAAGGTACTATGGGTAGATCGCATGGCATAAAAAATAAACAAACGTCATCCTCATTATGAGAGTTGTCATTTGATTGACATACAGGGCAACCCATCTGAGACCTGACCTTTTCTGACACATGCATGTGCATACAACCATGCAAAAATCTAGCAAGCTACCAAGTTGCCTAGTTAGCCTCCAATTTGTTTCTTCTAACCAAGATAGGGTATAAAACGAGGAGGACATTTTTTAAACAATGCCATAATCAAAGTGTGTTTGCCTCGTATGCTAGTCTACCATTGCTATTCCTAAGAAGGGAAATGAGGAGCGGCATTTTCAGACTTTAAAAACTGCGACACTGACTTCCTTCTGTAAAATGAGCTGATAAAGACAAAGGTGAAGGAACTAAAATCCCAGTTATCTGGACAGCAGTCGTTTATCTTACAGCTGACCATCCAGCTGACTATTCAAAACAGTTGAGAACCGAGGTGACAGCTGTTCTTGGAGATGTTCTGCGCTCTGTAGAGACAGCGGGAGATGGAAATGTCCATAAGGGCAGCCAACAATCTTCTGTGCTGTCTTGATCACCTTCTGGAGCCCATTGTCTTCTTCAGTGCAGCTCATGTACTGAGATACAGAAAGTTAGGAGGCTCTCAACGGATGAGCGATAGAAGGTCGAAAACTGGTTTTATCCAGGTTGTTCTTCCTGAGGACCCCAAGGAAGCGAAGCCGCAGCTGGGCCTTCTTGATGACAGTTGTGATGTTATCTGTCCAGGAGAGGTCAGTGGACTTCAAGACACCTAGGAACCTGAATGTGTGGACCCTCTCCACACACTCACTTGATATAGAAAGGGGTCAGGTCAGTTTTGTGCTTCATGAAGCCCACGATGAACTACTTTGTTTTCATGATGTTCTGTACCAGATTGTTCTCTGAGCACCAGGCAGTTAAGTTGTACACCTCCTCTCTGTATGCTACCTTGTCTCCCTTTGAAATTAGTCCAACTGCTGTAGTATCATCTGCAAATTTGATGATGTTGTTTTTGTGGGCCAGAGACTACAGTCGCAGGTGTAAAGGCAGTACAGAAGGGGACTCAGCACACAGCCCTGTGGTGAACTGGTACTCAGTATGCAGGTAATAATACTAATAATAACTTTGTTAATCCCCAAGGAGACATTCATTCTTTGCATTTTTGCCATCACACATGTGGCGCAGAAGGATGCCACTTAAGATATCCGGGGAGCAGCTAGAGGGTTAAGGGCCTTGCTCAAAGGCCCACAGTGGGGTAAATAAGGATGGAGGCAGATTTGGACACATAACCTTTTCTACCCAAATTTTATGCACTCGTCTGGAGATTCAAATCAGCGACTTTCCAAACACAGATTCGCTTTTGCTTATTTATCAGTTAAATTTGTCATCATATTAAATATTACACATAACAAGTTTTTCAAATATAGTGCAGCCCTTGTTGGGATGTTGTGCAAAATTTAACTTGAATCTAAAAATTGCATAACTTTTTTAATATGAGGAAATTTTGCATATTCTGGCAGCAACACATCTAAACAGGTTTTTTTTTTTTTTTTTTTAACAAGTCTGTAAATGCTTAGAAACTGTGGTTTTCGGGGAGAATGTTGTCCAGTTCTTGTCTGATGTAGCCGTTCAACAGTCCTGGCTCTTCATTGCTGAATATTTTTGTTTTGCTGGATGAGAGCATATTCTCTTCTAAAACCTGTAAATACTTTTCTGAATTGAAGCCTTTCCATGTGTAAGTCTCCACTAGAGTTTGCAAAGTATGTCAATATTTTTGTTTAACAAATTTAATGAGTTGTTGCCAACAGTATTCTTCACTCCCGTAAAGCTTAGACTGGCGTTGTTTGCACGGTCTCTCCCATGGCACCTGCTGAAGCTTTTAACTCCCTCAGACTACTCAAGGGTGTCTTGGCCTCTCCCACTTTACTCTTTCTTGCACGGTCAGATGGGGACGTTGGTAATGCTTTTTGTATCCAACCCAGACTTGTACTTTTTCAAAGATCTTTTCACAGAGTTGAATTATGACATCACATAAAATAAGTTTTTGGTTAAAGTCAATTTGTGATTCGTGATTAATTTATGCCAGAAATAAACGCCTAAACATTCAAGGGGTGAATGCTTTTTGAAGACATTGTATATTTGTATACAAATAAATGGTGAAATGTATACACATCCTCTTTCAACTTTCAGGTATTACAAATAAGGAACTAATGAAAAAAGAGCTACCTACAGCAGCCATTTTGCTGCAGGTGCGTTGCTGTGCTTGGGATTACCGTCACATTGCATGACAAAGCAAAGAAGCTGATCAAACAGATTGTCTTACATGGGAGTCTAAAATGTCACAATATAAAGTCATGACTGACTTGGTGACTACCTAGTAACACTCACAAAGCTGCCAAACCAGTCCAGTTCATCAACCTCCCACAGCTGTGCTTCACAGATGGTATGAGGTTTTTGTGCAGGGAATCTGTTTTGTGTCAAACTGTCAAGTTTATTTTTTTTTGAGGGGAGGTGTTGATCAAGAAAATCTTCCAGACGTGCCGTACTTGTTCAGTCACTTAATTATCTCAATGACTATGACTGCTATTATCAATACCTTCAACTGCTAATTTTCTAAAGCCTGTAGAACTATTTCTTGGAACAATAAAAAAACAGAAGCTTTCCTAGAAAGTCCACACCTTGAAATGGTGGCGAGTGTCCAAAATATTTTTATACTTTTGAAAAATCTTTCTTACTTTGTACCATAATAGTCTTCTTCTTTGGGCTGTTTTCTTCAGGGGTTGCCACAGTGAGCGAACTCGCACAAAGATTTTGCAATTGTTTTTACGCCAGATGCCCGTCCTGATACAATCACAGTCCTCAAGCTGCCATCCAAGCCTGGGGAGCAGCTGGGGACATTATAGCTCTTTCCTGATTGACTGGCAGCTACATCCATCCATATTCTACTACTAATGTGGTAAGGTAATAAGGGCAACACCCGGTTCAGGAGGAAAACCCAGACATCCCCAGTGACACTCTCCACCTCTGCCTGGGGCAAACCAAAAACATTCCCAGCCTATAAAGGATATAAAATTTCTCCAGCGAGTTATGGGTCTGTTGCAGGATCTCCTTCCAGTGGCATAACCCTGGAAAAATTCCAAAGGGAGGCACCCTAATCACATGTCCAAATCACCTGAGCCTATCCTGTCCATACAAAGGAGCAGCGGCTCTAATCTGAGCTCTCTATCTCTAAAGCTCTAGGGGTCTTTGAGGCTGAGCCTGGTCATGAAGATCATTTTAGCCGCTTGTATCCAGGAACTCATTTTTTTCACTCACGATCCATGCTTCAGGACCACGGGTGAGGTTTGGAATGCAGACGGACCAGTAAATTGAGAAAAATTCCTTTCAATTCAACTCTTTCCTCACCACAACAGAAAAAAAGGAACTCCCTCATCACTGAGGATGAGGCCCTGATCTGTTGACCCAACTCTTGCTCCTTTCTACCATCACTTGTGAACAAGACACTCAAGACACTGTAACTTTGCTTGAGGCAGAGACCCATCCCAGACTCGGAGGGTGCATTCCTGGCAGCAGAAGCTGCTTCCCAATATCACTCATCAGTAATGTCAGTGTCAATTTATTTACATAGCACATAAAAACAACAAAAGCTGACCAAAATGATTTACAATTTAGTCAAAATAAAATGAAAGTAACAAGAACAAAAAACATACATCTTGTGCCACCCAGGAAGAAGAAGGATGAAATACAACTACAATAAAAATGATCTGGTTCATTTTCACCATTTCAACTGGTTCTCAAACTCTGCAAGGATCAAACACCAAGGAAGAAAAAAAGATGAGATTTGAGTCAAGAATTGAGCCTAGATCAGGTCTCTCTTGTAAATGAGTCCCCGAGGCTCAATGGGATTACCTGTCTAAATAAAGGTTGAATGAAAATTTAAAAGTCTCAACAGTCTCTGCAGTCTTTAAGTTATCAGGCAAACTGTTCCACAATTTTGGAGTAGCAACTGCAAAAGCCTGATCACCTCTGGACCTTAGTTTGGATCAAGGGACATCTAAGAGGAGCATTACTGTAAAAAAATTGTACTTAAGTTACTGTCCGATTTAAATTTTGAGGTTTTTTTTCCCACTACTAAGTTATGAGGCTCCTAGTGAAAACGGATGTATCTGGAACAAAGTCAGCTTCAACTACCGGTGCCTGTCCTTGAGAGAAATGAGGCTCCTGGCACCTTTTTATCTGGTCCAGTGTAGTTGAAGATGCTGGGTGCAGAAGATCTTTGGCTTCCTGCAGCAGGGCTTCACTGATGACCACAGGAGAACTTATATAGATGGTAGTTTCTCTGTTTATTAACAGGTGGTATGGGGGAGCACTCCCCTGCAGTGACTGCGGGGCCAGACCTTTTAAGACTTTAAAAACAAGCAATAAAATTTTAAAATCAACCCTGAAGTGGATAGGAAGCCAGTGGAGAGAAGCCAGGACAGGGGTTATGTGTTCATGTTTTCCAGTTGCTGTTAAAAGATGAGCTGCTGCATTCTGGACGATTTGTAAACGATGCAGAGATGATTTATCTAAACCAACATACAAAGCATTACAATAGTCCAAACAAGAGCTTATTCATTCAACCTTTATTTAGACAGGTAAATCCCATTGAGCCTCGAGGACTCATTTACAAGAGAGACCTGATTTCAACAAAGAATGATGACAACAATGGCCAACAGCGACAACAATAGACAGTTATAAAAAGGCATACAGATTTTTTTTAACAAATAGGATGGCTAAAAAAAAAAAAGAAAAGTAACAAAAAACAGCTATATGCTAAGGCAAATGTAGAAAACTAAAAACAGGAACATGTCTGCATTGGTCCCTGACAGGAGTCCAATAGATTCTTAAAGCCACTTAGAGAGGTCAAGGTTGAGAGCTTCAAATCTTTTTGTAAGATATTCCAGGAAACAGGAGCGGAGTAGGTGAAGGCTCTTTTGCCTAGTTCAGTTCTCACTGAGGGAACACTGCAGGTAATAAAGTCCTGAGAGCGCACGATGTAGCTGCACTCACACAGAGACATGTAGGAGGAGATGTATGAAGGCAGCAGACCAAGAAATGATTTAAAGATGACAATGTACCAGTGAGAGAGTCTGCGAGAAGTTAATGATGTCCAGTTAAAGTGAATACAGGGTGCAGTGGTGGGTACGATAATCACAGCCAGTTATGAATCTTAGTGCACCATGATAGACAGCATCCAACATCCGCAGGGTGCTTGTAGGAGCATTCGTGTAAATAATGTCACCGTAATCAATGGAGGGAGGGACGGTCACAGATACAAGGCGTTTCCTAGCATTCAGTTAGACAGGATCTGTTTCTGAAAAAGAAACCCAGTTTAACTTTCAGGTTTTTTTTACCTAGTTTTCCACATGAAGCTTAAAAGAGAGATGCGAGTCGACCAAGATACCCAAATAATATTATAAAAGCACGAATCACCTTTTCAAGGTCTCTGAAAGGGAGACAAGACTTCACCTTGGCAATAAGTTTTAGATGGAAGAAACTGGATTTCACAACTGCATTCATCCGTTTGTCCAATTTAAAAGCACTATCGAAAATAACTCCCAGATTCCTGACAGTGGAGTGGCTGTATAAAGCCAAAGGGCCAAGAGTGTTACATTTATCAAAGCTGATGACTTAAATTTTATTTTCATTTAAATTCAGAAAATTTAGTTAAATCAGACTTTATTGTCCTTTAGACAGTTCAAGAGTGGTTCCAGTGGAGTGACCCTGTCTGACTTAATGGGCAAAAACAACTGAGTGTCATCAGCAAAGCAATGAAAAGGGATGTAATGTTTTCTAAAAATGGACCCCAAAGGTAACATGTAGAGATTAAATAGCAGTGGACCTAAAATAGACCCTTGAGGGACACCACAGATTAAAGGAGCTGCAGATGATGAACATTCCCCTAAATGAAACAGAAACAACTCCTGTCAGTCAGGTAGGATCTAAACCAAGATAAAACTGTTACTTTGATACCAACCACCTGCTCAAGATGTGGTCCACAGTATCAAAGGCAGCAGAAAGGTCTAAAAGCACTAAAACAGCAGAGCTTCCTGCATCAACGGTTAAAAGAAGGTCATTAAAACTCTTAAAAGGGCAGTCTCTGTGTTGTGGCCTGATTTAAAACCTGAATGGAAATTTTCACCTATGTTGTGTGTAGTTAAAAACCTCCTACGTTGATTAAAAACAACTTTGTTTAAAATTTTCCACAGAAAAGGCAATTTAGAAATAGGTCTATAATTTAAGAGCACTGCTGGGTCAAGATTTTTATCTTTATGAGTGGCTGCACCATAGCATGTTTAAAAGAAGCTGGAATGAGGGGGACATGTTATAACCAGGACAACAAATGGACTGAGAGTTTGAAAAACTTCCTTAAACAGACGAGAGGGAACACTGTCCACAGGTGAATTAGAAGGCTGCATATGATGCACAATGTCCTTTAAAACAGCAAGTTACTGGCTCAAACTGTCCAAAGGCAGCTGAAGAAGGAGGAAGTAAGGAGGGGTCTGTGTAAAATTGCATTGAGGAGGGTCTCAGAGCAGAGATTTTATGAATAAAAAACTCTACAAACAGTTCACACGGTGCAGGAGATTAAACGATATGATCAGCATCACAAGGATTCACAACAGTTAAAAACATTAAAAAGAACCTGAGATCTGTGACTGTTGTTTAAAACCACATTAGATTTTAAAAAAGCAATCTTAGCAACTTTAACAGCTCTCTGATAATTTGATAAGCCGTTTTTAATGATGTCCAGGGAAACTTATTATTAATATTATTAGTGTTTAGCATATATCTTGGATTGTTTAGCGTACCATTTGGCGTTTGTTTAGCGTATATCTTAGATTCTTATTTACGTTTTACTTTATACTTTATATTTTGCTATTTTGGGGTGTAACTGGGACCCTGTGTACATAAATTCATTCCACCTCATGCACCACATGTGATGGTAATGATAATAAAGTTGACTTGAACTTGCAGTCTGTCCTTTCTCCATTTCCTCTCAGCTCGTCTGCAGACGTCTGCACTGACGTCTGAGCATGCGGGTGGATTCGCTCTGCCAGTTGACATGACTTGGCAATGAGTAAACACCATATTTCTGCTTTTTTAAAGACATTTACATTTGTCAATAATCAGTTATTTAAATGCATTTGATGTCAAGCACCTGGCTACTACTTACCGTTTTAATTCCAGTGTCTTTGAAAAACTGATTCAGTATTTTTTTAACATAAATACTGATGTACTGCTATGTGAAAAGGCTGTTCATCCTTAGCTGTCCTTGTGCATTTTATGATACCCAGAGGCTTTTCTTTGCTTTACTTTGTCCTAACGTGTAAAAACTGAAAATGATTTTATAAAAGTGAAGTTAGAACTGAAAGCAGCCCTTCCTGTCAGTTCATCCTTTGTTTTTTAAGATATTTCTTCAGCCTCCTTCACATGAGTTTGATTCATCAACCTGCTTAGCATAGTTGGAAACTCAAAAATGGGCAAGTTATCAAAATGTGTGGCTTTATAGCACTCTTTTCAAGAGTAAAGAATAAGCTGTATTTTATGCGGTGTTGTTTTACCTGTGGAATGTGCAGCCTTTAAAACCAATGGGAACACCATCCTTCCTGTAAAACAAAAACAAACTAAAATGTTAGCTATGCAGATAAATTATTTACAGAAAAACAAAAATCTATTACTTAATCCCCATGTTTGTCATTTGATCTGTTAGAAAGAAAAAGGATTAATTCTAAATAAACTAAAACATAGATAAATTGCATTAAAAAAAAGAATGCTGCATGAGGATTTACACAATAAAAATGATTTTTTTTTAACAAGATAGCAGGAGAACATGAGACCATGTTTTGATATTTCACACAATGTGTGGGGCGGTAAATGCTTTTAATCAGAGCAAAAATGACCAGAGAGTATTACATTGCATTAATATCACATCTAATAATCCATCTATTTTCTTTGTGTGCAGGGTTGCGGGGAAGTCTCTACGGTCATTGAATGAGAGGCGAGGCACACCCTGGACAGGTACAAGTCCACAGCAGAACAGTGCAGATCCAGTGTCATGTTTAACAGACGAATGAACAATTGAGGATCAAAAGCCTTCTTTGGTTTTCTCTAAATAAAATCATGTTGGAAATGGAATATTAATTCAATGCAATTCAGCTTATTTATATAGCACCATATTACAACAACATTGTCTCAGGACACTTTACAGGAACATTCACATACATAGAAAAGCCAATTAAAGTTCTCTATCTAAGGAAGCCTTAGATCGAGAACTTCCCCCTTATTAGATAATGACAAGAATTAGACTTTGTTTTTGTTTTCATATAGTTTGGTATTTGTGTTTCTTAAAGTGTTTTTGAAAGACTTACACCTCTATCAAGGCTTCTATCAGATCATTTATCAACTGGTTTGCTAAGAAGGAAGTGGGACGCTAAAATGAAAGAATTAATTTACTGGATTATTGAGCATGCATCAGGATAATTCATTTACTGGCTTACCGAAACTCTCCTGTGCAGAACTGCCTGCAAGAAAAAAGAAAAGAAACAAACGTTGCCTCGTTCTAGTTGGCACACAGAATAAACACAGAAGCACGTGATGCAGATGATATTAAAAATATATATACATCAACAGACGACAGCCTTACCGAAAATTCTCAGCCGTCTTTGGAACCACATCGGCAAACAGCTCAACTTTCATCCGTCCAACATCCTGGTAAATGAGGAGAAACAAACAAAAAAATAATAATAATGAAGAAAGGAAAAAAAGAGGTTCAAGAATACAAAAACTGCAACAACAAAAATAAAATAATAATGTTGGGTCTAAATTAAAGACACAGACACAAAGAGTGAGATTTTTCTTTGCAAAGAGGAAAGAGACTCTCTTCAAAGTTCTGCTTCCTTCTTTTGCTCTTTTTACTCATTTCACACAAGCAGTAGGCATGATTGTATAGACGGATCATCAGTCCACGTCACTTCCGGGTCACTTCCGGGTATACTGCGCATGTAAGTTGCACCAACCGTTTTGATAAAAACAATCAAACGTGCAAGTTTTACAGAATTCCTTCAACTCGCACGATTGCAAGACACCAGAAGAAGCGATTGGAACGAGCAGATGATTAAAAATGCAACAATCTGCAGCGAGCACTTCATATCAGGTAAGGGCTGCCTAGCCAACAAGCATCGTCCTATATACAAAAATATGAACTATTGATCACTCAAATACGAGTGTACCTAGCTTACAAGCTAAAATATCTTAGTTTGTTGATGCTGAGTGGAGTTGCTAATCATTTGTTTATTTGTTTATTTTTATTTAGAAATTTATTCATTTCATTAAAAACAAAATAACTATATACAATAGAAAACAAAAATATATATACAATCAAAAAATAAAATGAAAGGCAGCAGAAGAATAAATCATATCTGCCCCTTTATTCCCAGAATATATTCAAACACATTTACAAAAAAAATAAGCAAAATAAAAACAACATCAACTCAAACAACAATTTGTATAGACACACATTATACTTTACCATATTCCTTCAGAAAACTAACTTTTAACATTTTCTTAAATATGTACAAAGATCTGGCAGTTTGAACATCATCCTTCAGACCATTCCTATTCCCTGAATTTTAGTAGACCGCTCCTTCAAACTGGTACGAAACCAACGCTTCACAAACATCTCTATCCCCTTAAAATAAAAACCACTCTCCCTTTTAACAAAATTTACTCGGATATTTGAAGGTAGTATGTTTTTGTGAGCCTTATACATAAACTGTAAAATATTATAATCAACCAAGTCATAGAATTTTAATATCTTCAGCTGATAAAACAATGTATTTGATGAATGTCTATAATCTTTTCTAATGATAATTCTTAACAGCTCTTTTCTGTGAAATAAAAATAGGATTTGTAATTGTTTTACATGCTTTACCCCAGACTTCAATACAGTAAATTAAGTGTGGGACAATTATTGCGTTATACAACATAAACAGTGCTTTATCATTGAGTAACTCCCTTACTTTGTACAGTACTGCAATAGATTTAGCTTTTTTTGTTCTTAAATTATTTATGTGAGGTTTTCATGTCAGTTTTTCATCGATGATGACACCCAGAAACTTGTTGTTACCGTTTAAAGTTGTATGCTAACACATGCTATGCCAGTTAGCGCTGGCCAACCGTGTGCTGTTTTCATTAACGTCAGTCACTGGAATACACTTTATTTGTACAGGAGTGGCCTCTGAAGACATCGACACTCCTGACTTTGTCACGTCCATCTTCTTCTACTCTACAAACCCCGGCGAAGACGGCAATGGAAAATTGGAGCGGTAAATAGAGGGATTACTGACTCTAACTGAGGCTGTAATAAACCTGTGTCTAACAAAGTAAAGTGATGCTTTCAAGCTGTACCTAATGATCGTTCTCTTCTGTGTCTCAGCTACAAGAGAAAAAGACAAAGGGATGAAACCCCCAGCAGATGTCCAAACAATGGACCATATTGCCCATCCTCATGAAAACTGCGTTTAGGGCTCACCAATAAGGATATTGCGTTCAGATTTAAAGCTACTGAATGTGACATTTCCAAAATTTTGAGAAATTGGCTCCCTGTTATGTCTCAGGCCCTATTTACACGGACACGATGGGGGAAACGTAGGTTTTTTTCGTATGTTAATTAGAGGAAAAGATCCGCGTTGACACAGTCGTATTTTGGGTTTGCATGCATCCGCAGGATTCCCCCCGACCCTCCCGAATCCGCTGTAGTTACCATGCCGGGTCATTAGATGGCGCTGTGAATTTTGTACCTTTACCTAATGCGCATGCGTGCTGCCTCGGCACGCTGTTTCCTGTGAGCTAAAAAGCTCTGCTAACGACATCTTAACAAGTAAAAGCTGGATTTTGGCTGGATTGTGGATAAAAAGAGTCGACAGATTTGACGCCAAGCGGGACAGCTTCGTCTAACAGCTCCACACCGGTCACTGAGTGGACCAGAACCGAGTCGACAATGTTGGACTTTACGCCATGATAATCAGTAGCTGGTTTACAGCAGCACCTGGAATCTGAACTAGATTAACTACGAGATTATAAATATATTCCATCAGTCGTAGTTCAGAAAGCAGTGTATCTGCCGCCATGTTGATAGAAATATAGCGTCTGTCCGTGTGTACATGTGCGCATGTGGTTCAACACAAAGCCTCAGCGGGAGATGTTTACATTACCAGCGGGGGGTCAGCGAAAAACCTCCACTCTGGAAGGTGGGTTCAGAAACCTCCGGATTCAAAGAGGGGGGCCACTGGTGTCGTGTAAATGATCAGCAGAACCGCAGAGAGAAAGCTGCGGATGCACTCAAAATATGCACCGTGTAAACGGCCCCTCAGACTTTAACCTCTAATCTATCTATTAGATGACATTGTAACTGTGTGTGCAGCGTTAAACATTTGGGACTGTATAGTCCCTAGAAAATAAACTGTAAATATCTTGTTCAAGTATTCAAGAGTTAAGGATACATCAAAAACTTTTATTTCTTGTTTGTACATAAGTAATGTCATTAAAAAGTAACAACAAAATAACTTTTTTTTTTAAACGTGCACACAGTGATTTGAAGGAAAAAGTTCAAACCGAATGTTAACAGGAAAAGTTACAATAAATATGTCAAAGTGGATTGTTTTTAGCTTCTTTCTTTTACACGGTCACAGTAAATCTCAGGTAGATTATTACTTTGTATGAATAACTGTTCATTTATGTGGAGGACTGATCATCTCTGGCTGGCTGCACGAGTGTATCCTGCTGGCTCCAAATCACAAAGTCGCAAGACTGGACACCACACGCTGTGAAGCTGAACTTGATAATAGTATTCATGGTTCTTCTTGATATGTAATGAGCAGCAACTAGTCACCTTTTCAACATCGTGTAAAAAAATGTATAAAATAAAAAACAAAATAAAAATAACGCGCACAGAGGCGGGTCTGAGCGTTTTCAATTTACATCTCTCAGTAAAACGAGTCACATAATCTGTCACAGTTGTAACTTTCATTTTAATCGACAGCTCCTGGTAATAAACAAATAAATATAAAACCTCAAATAAGCAACAAATAAACCTGGTCTTGTGTGGGGGTTTTCTTACAGTTTCGTGTTTTGTTTTTTTTGTGTGCGATTTTTTTTTTTTTTAATCGCCGAGCGAAAAATGTCTTTTTTTAAGACAACTTGTCATGTTCACTTTAGCCTGACAAATATCAGTCAGCCACCAAGACATCGAGTGTATTTATAGTTTTAATAACAAATCTATCAGAAGAGCTGTGAAGATGGACGCCTCTGTGCGCCCTCTCGATAAAGGGGAGCAGAATTTCGCACAGGACACCGGCTCTTTCTGCATTATGGCTGAGCGCGCATCCGCAGTGTTGATAAACAAATAATCCGTCTATAGCGTGATCAATACAACATTGTTTACACATTTAGAGCATTTAGGGTCATAGTCTGTTTCCAAGGGAAGTTCAAAATAAAAGTACAGGGTGACATTAGCAGAGTGACATAATTTCACAACATACAGTGCCTTGCGAAAGTATTCGTCCCCCTTGAACTTTTCAACCTTTTGCCACATTTCAGGCTTCAAATATAAAGATATAAAATTTTTAATTTTTGTGAAGAATCAACAACAAGTGGGACACAATTGTGAAGCGGAATGAAATTTATTGGATGTGTCAAACTTTATTAACAAATAAAAAACTGAAAAGTGGGGCGTGCAATATTATTGGGCCCCTTTACTTTCAGTGCAGCAAACTCACTCCAGAAGTTCAGAGAGGATCTATGAATGATCCAATGTTGTCCCAAATGACTGATGATGATAAATAGAATCCACCTGTGTGTAATCAAGTCTCCGTATAAATGCACCTGCTCTGTGATAGTCTCAGGGTTCTGTTCAAAGCGCAGAGAGCATCATGAAGACCAAGGAACACACCAAGCAGGTCCAAGATACTGTTGTGGAGAAGTTTAAAGCCGGATTTGGATACACAAAGATTTACCAAGCTTTAAACATCCCAAGGAGCACTGTGCAAGCAATCATATTGAAATGGAAGGAGTATCAGACCACTGCAAATCTACCAAGACCCGGCCGTCCCTCTAAACCTTCATCTCGAACAAGGAGAAGACTGATCAGAGATGCAGCCAAGAGGCCCATGATCACTCTGGATGAACTGCAGAGATCTACAGCTGAGGTGGGAGAGTCTGTCCATAGGACAACAATCAGTCGTACGCTGCACAAATCTGGCCTTTATGGAAGAGTGACAAGAAGAAAGCCATTTCTCAAAGATATCCATAAAAAGTGTTGTTTATAGTTTGCCACAAGCACCTGGGAGACACCAAACACGTGGAAGAAGGTGCTCTGGTCAGATGAAACCAAAATCTAACTGTTTGGCTACAATGCAAAACGATATGTTTGGCGTAAAAGCAACACAGCTCATCACCCTGAACACACCATTCCCACTGTCAAACATGGTGGTGGCAGCATCATGGTTTGGGCCTGTTTTTCTTCAGCAGGGACAGGGAAGATGGTCAGAATTGATGGGAAGATGGATGGGGCCAAATACAGGACCATTCTGGAAGAAAACCTGTTTGAGTCTGCAAGAGACCTGAGACTTGGACAGATATTTATCTTCCAATAAGACAATGATCCAAAACATAAAATCAAATCTACAATGGAATGGTTCACAAATAAACGTATCCAGGTGTTGGAATGGCCAAGTCAAAGTCCAGACCTGAATCCAATCGAGAATCTGTGGAAAGAGCTGAAGACTGCTGTTCACAAACGCTCTCCATCCAACCTCGTGAGCTCGAGCTGTTTTGCAAAGAAGAATGGGCAAGAACTTCAGTCTCTCCATGTGCAAACCTGATAGAGACAAACCCCAAGAGACTTGCAGCTGGAACTGCAGCAAAAGGCGGCGCTACAAAGTATTAACGCAAGGGGGCCGAATAATATCGCACGCCCCACTTTTCAGTTTTTTATTTGTTAATAAAGTTTGACACATCCAATAAATTTCATTCCACTTCACGATTGTGTCTCACTTGTTGTTGATTCTTCACAAAAATTAAAAATTTTATATCTTTATGTTTGAAGCCTGAAATGTGGCAAAAGGTTGAAAAGTTCAAGGGGGTCGAATACTTTTGCAAGGCACTGTATATTTGAACAAGCTGTTATGTTGGTGGGAGGTTTAAAGGTCACAAGTGCTGAAAACTTTTTTCTCTGGAACTTTCCACTGAAGAGGTCACTGAAAGGAGCATGAAATGAAATGATCACAAAAGAAAACATAAAAATAAACATAAAATAATTGAGTGTAAAGCACAAAAAGAATATAAAACGAACTGTTCCAACAAATAATAGTTCTATTTTCTGTTATTAAATTTTAAAAACTTTATTCTCAGTTTACAATGAGATTTTTTTATTGCTTTTTTTTCTTTATATGCTAATTTATTTCTGTATCCTTTTTTGAGTTTCCTCCGTATTACATTTTCTGTACGTACATTCATGCACGCACATCTTATATTTCTGAAAGTATTCTTGCTTCATGATACAAATACTGAATTCTCTTTCAGAGTTTACTGGACGGCTTATCCAACAATCAGACTGATAGCTCATGTTTTTAATAAGGAACTTATTTTCTGGAAGCAGAGGTGTAATGAGGAAACAGAACTTATGGTAAATAAGCACGACAAGGTGCAAGAACAAAAATATGGAAATAAATAAGCATGAATTAGCAGATAAACTATGTAATTAAATAGTACAATGATTTTTTTTTTTTTACTTTTTTAGAAAACTAAAAAGTAAATTTTAGAGAAATATATGCAGAACAAAAGTAAATCAACAAAACAAGACAACATTTTTAATATAAATACATTTTTGGGCTCTTTCAGTGCTCTTAAAAACCATTTGTGTCTAGGAAATACATCAGAGTAAACAACGCCCATGTATCTTCACTAAAAGTGAACTAACCAGCTACTGATAACTAAAACAATGACTTTTTTTTTTCCTGGTTCCCAAAAATGTGAAGCCAAGCTTCAGTATTTTTTCTTTTGGTTCTGATATTAATTACTAAAAGAACAGTAAAATACATAGTATCTAACTAATATGCTGGTATTTTGTATTGAACATTGTTGAATTTATTTAACTAATACAACTCAATACAGCAATATGAAAAGGTGGCTGAAGACAAAAGGAAGTCCGAACAAAAGCAGGTTTGTTTTTTGGCATTTCTGCAAGTTGAGAACGCCGACTTACCAGTGTTTTAGCGTGCTGGACTCAAGCACTACTCTAAACTGTGAAGAGCTGGACGACCGTTTGACATGTCTGCTCACATGTCAGACTCTGGCACAGTCGACAATGCCAAAAAGCAGGTTAAAAGACAGCTTTTTCCAAACATGCAAATGTGATGAAACCGACACTTTAGACTTTTGTAAACTAAGAAGTATAACTAGTGTTTGTTCTGACAACGATACGAGGGCAGGTAGGTTCCTTTAATAAAGAAATTCTTGTGATTTTTGTTAATTCCTGGAAGCAGATTGAAGGTGAGATGATGCATCGCTTGAGATCATTTTGCACAAGAACAAAAGGTCATCTAACAATCAAGCCGATGAAATCAAACATCGGGACATTTTTCACGAACACATCCCGCCTCGCTGGTACACTCACCATTTTAGTCAAACCTTGGAAACAACGTTTTAAGTCATCATATTGCAAATGTTTGCATGGCCCTTTAGTGCTTGCAGTATGTGTTGTGTAGGACTCAGCTAATACCATGTACAGCCAATAATTACTTTGTGGCATTGAAATCCAGCTGGTGGTTTATGAGATATTTTGCTAACAAACAGGGTTGAGTCAAGAGTTGACGACAAGGCAAAGGTGTCTCAGTGTGTTACACTCACAGTATGTGTTGGGGGCAATGCTACGCTACTACGCCGATTTTTAACTCAATATCTGTAAAACAGCTATTTTTGTGTATGGAAGATTGTTTTGTTGTGGCGGCCATCTTGATTTAGGTCGACTCCAAATGGTAATTAGATGTCAATCCAATGAATACTTTCTGAAAATGTTTAATAAAATCTATTCAGTCATTCAGGATCGGTCCAACTGTCCCCCTCTTACAATGCTATTATTGCTAGTATCACTCAGCCCCCTGTGAACAGCAAGCGGCCATCATGGCACTAACGACCAATTGTTAAGCTGATGGTCCTCCTTTATCATGCAAACAACTAGCTCTGGATGTCACCAACAAACTGGTTGATCCACTATGAGAAGGTGATATTCATAGTTGCCAAGTCTGCTTATTATCAGAGACTTTGAGCTTGATTTTTTCTAAAGGTGCTTGTAAATCTTGTGAGCTGCGGGTTGTGGTTTTTATTGGGCTTGACTTTCTTTCCGAGTGAAACTAGTTGATTATCTCCCAGCTCCGCACAATAAACCAAAAGACAAGTGGTCGTAGGTAGTTTGTCCCTTCCACGTCCTCGTTTCCTGTTTATCGCTCCCGCCCAAGTTGGAGAGGTGGGAGCACACACCCCAAACACGCATACTGTGGCTGACCACTAGGGGGCTCCACTCACACGCAGATGTCAGGATGTTTTGTTTTTCAAAATATGTAGAAAAAATTACACATGCAAAATGTATTTTTTTATTAGAGCTTAAAAGTATGTTATTCAAAGTGTTTAGCATAATTTTGCAGTTGTTTATGTGTAATGCCATAATAAATGTATATTTATACTGTTTTAAAACGGCCTCTGTTTTACACAATGTGGTGGGTTGCCAGTTGGGCTTGTTTTCATAAAGCTGGTTCCTTGTTTCGATTGCGAGATCTGGCAACACGTGCTATTTATAAGACTGACTTTATTGCAGCTCCTCAGACTGACAAAGTCTTTTTGGACAAAAAACGAAACGTTTCAACAAGAAGAATCCGTCCAGCGGACCTGACTTTACTTTGTTAGACTTTTCTACCTGAATTATTGAACATGCATCAGGATAAGTCATTCATGATATTTTGCTAAAGGTGCAAATAAACAAACAAACCCAAAATGCATTCAGCAGTTTAAAACATTTGGAACCCTTGTTGAAACATCTCACCTCTATGTGAACTAGGTGTTAAGAGCTTTAATCAGGTCAGAACCATTGTCTTTTTTTTCCAAACTGAGGTAAACAGGTATTCCTGCTCATAGTCTGTCCACAGAAGCCTGCTTCAAAAGAGCTGAACTACACCTTAAATAATTCCCACTGAACGCAAACCACGCCAGACAACAAACAAAGCCAAAACTGTCAGCTAAAGTTGTGTTTCTGAGAAAATGTTTTAGGCCTACATCATTAAACACAAGAGTCACTTTCTGAGAATTGTGGTGAAACCATAGACTGACAAGGTGGAGACAAACAAAACCCTGCGAAGGGTGAGGCTCCAGCTCCACCTCCTCTCAGAAAGGGCTGCGTTTTCACCTGTGTCGTCTGCTGCGGGACATGCAAATCAATAGGAGGAAGTTACCCATCGGACATATGGCCATGGAAACAAATAGAATTCCTCGAACACATGAAAGGTGTGTTTGAAAAGTGGCCATTCAAAATGGGGAGGCGGAGCCACGAAGAGAGAACTCTGAGAAAAGTGCTCCACCTGCCTCCACCTCCACAGCAGCCACAGTGTTGCAGATGAGAGAATGCACAGCATCCCGTCGGACAAGCAGAGCTACTGAAACTCACCACACCAGAAACACGCCGAGCAGAGCGGCACTGCTGCAGAGACACCACCATTTCACCTGGTAAGACTCAATGTTTTTTAGAGGTAAGCTCATTAGTGAGGTTTAAAGGCACGCCAAATTAAAAGGTTCGATGACGGTATGAGCTTCAGTGCTTCTGTGGAGGTAAGTATTTTGCACCAAGTCAGAACTGATAGCTTTTATCAAAACTGCTGTTAGGACAAATGCAGACTACCCTTAAACAATTCTGCATGTACCCTTTTGTGCTGAAACTGTGCGACGCTTTTACAAAATGCATAACATTTAAAGTCCAAGTATTTAAAGAGATTAGTTGTTCATGTAAACTCTGCTAAATATCCTGTAAAACTCAACTGGATTTTTTTTATATATCGTAGCAATGGAGGAATAAACATACGTATTTTTAAAAAAAGGCAATAAAAAGTACATTTGTTAAAAAAAATAAAATACCAGTAGGCGACAATATGTAAGAAAAGCGAGTCTCAGACAAAGTTCTAAGTGAACGGGGCAGTCTAATGCAGGTGTGGTCGTGTTTAATTCCTGCAAACTTAAAAACAAGGCGATGTCTTTTTCTTTTACGCTGTGAGGAAACGCCAACATGGTCCAACCAGAAGACTTTACGGACCAAAATATTTTTTAATAAGCCGTCTTAAACAAAAACACGCCCCAGCGTGCAGTGCTTTAGAAACCTCTGATTTGAAAACGAAGCAAAATGAAAGAAATTTACATGAGACGGAAGACGCCGAGATCTTAACAGGATTACTGATATTAATAATTAAACAAAACACACACAAACAACCATGAATATTTTTACTAATTAGTGACATACTTTGCAAGACTATACTTAAAATATTTGTAAAGCATAGTCAATTATTAACCGTTTTCGAACATAAACACTAATAAATTATAGTTTTGCTGATAAGTAAACATTGCTGTCACTCCCATTACATTGTTTCCTGCTGTCATGAGTCGGGAACATTTAATAAACGAGTTATTCCCTCCTTTATTCCTACATGTATAAAGGCAAAGATGTACAAGTTACGTACTTTATCCTCCAGACTACTGTGTGTTGTAAATGACACTCCTGTTTTCACACCCTCACTAAGCTTTTTATCTACAGCTGCACAATTTTAAAGTCTTGTGGTGAGAAAAGCAAATCAAAATTTGATCATCATCATCATTTCTGAGTAATTATAGAAAAACTTTCAACAATGCAAAATACTACGAACTTTAGCGCACACACACACTTTAAACATTTCTCTTGTAGATGTAATAGGTATGAAATAAAAAGCCTCAAGTTGGTTGATTTAAAAATGACTTTTTTAATAGTATAATACAAAGTCCTGGCGATAAAGTAAAACAAAAAAAGGAAGTAATAAATTGAAACAACAATTTTTAACGACGGTAGTGTTAAGGCTTTTGCCATAAAAAAAAAAAAAAATAATAATTTAAAGTGTGTGTGATCCGTATCAAGTTGTGTTTCCACCTCATTCTTCTCAACGTGGAACTTGTGACATTGAACACTTCAATTAAAGTTCCTTCTCCTTTTCAGCATTAACAAAATGTAAAAAGTGATTTTATTTCCTTTTGTAAGTAAAAGGTTTCCGAGGAACGTTAAACGTTCTTTTTAATTAGATGATCTCAGAACGCTTTCAGTAACGGACTGTGTTTTCTTTTGTCTTTGCAGTATTGTCTGGAGATTCCATCGACATAAATGCTGCCAGAATTGCCACCGCCTTTGGAAAACAGCCAAACTGTAAAGATGATGGCCGTGCTGGAGAAATGGGAGGCTTCCGGCCTTCACACAAACAACAACGAGAAGTATTTCTGGCTTTTACTTTTCAAGCTGGGACTGGACGTGGCTGTCTTCTACGCATGCTGCCCAAAACAGTATACCTTCTTTTTAAATGTGAGCAGCCTGTCCATTGTAGTGGCTGACTTTCTTCTTACATTTTTTATGGGTGCCGTGTGGCTTCTTGGAACCGAGGGATCTTTTGCGTCAGCTTGCCTCCTCTTGGGCAAAGCCTCGGCAACATATGGAGTGCTCCCGCTCCCCATGGTAGGCCTGGGCTTAATAGACTACTGTTTCCACAACACCTTTTTGATCAACCACACGGCGCTCAGCAAGCTGCTCAAGAATGTGATCTTGACAATGCTGGTATGGATGACAGCTCTCGTTTACTCTTTTGGCTTCTTCCACTCGGAGCCGATGCGAGTGAGTTACATGACGGAGATCAAGGTGTTGGTCTGTAAGGTGGAAGAGTCAACAGCAATCACCGTCATCGTTTTGGGACTTTTTACTGTGACGTTTTTCATGATGCTGCCATTTTGCTCAAGGATTCCCCAGTGGGTGAAAGAGGCTGACAAGATCTATGAAGCTCGTGAGGAACGGGAGAAAACGACAAGCGACCTCTTCGTCACGTCAACCTGGAACAGAAACAACCCAGAAACAACCGGCAAGGAGGAGCAACTCCTCGAGAAGCATGTCTGGATGCGGCCGCCTCTGTGGTCCAGTCTTTTGCTGGGCTTTCTGATATTTTGGATGCCGTATCTTGTTGTGACCGTATCCTGTCTGCTCTGTGGCTTTGCCGTACCTGCATACATCTCTGTCAACCTTCTGTGGCTGGAGTGCACCAACAGCTTCCTGGTTGGACTCATCTTCTGGGTAAAGAGCAATATTAGGGGCCCGTACATTCACTTACCAGAGAACGTGTGCTCGTGGCAGATTTACTGGCAACTGAGCAAAGGCACAGCACAACCTGAAGCCCCTATAGCCGTGCTTAACCCACCACAGGTAAACAAAAAGGCTTTGCTCTACGTGTAAGGAAACACCAAACGAATGCTGACTTGACTGCCTCCGCCCAGAGTTAGGAAATGAGAGTGTGGATCTCATGAGAATGAGCCAGTATCTGTAAACAGTTCACTGCTGTCGAAATGTAACTGCTTCAACTGGCTCGTTTTTTTACAAAACATCTATAACTCTAGAGGGGCAAAATGCTGCAGCTGAAAATGGACTTGAAATTTTATTTAAAAAAAGCTGCAAAACAAAAAGTTGCAAAGCTCAACTTTTGTAAATGTCTGAAACAAAGAAAGTTCGACTTGTAAATAGACGTGTATACTGCAGGACTATTTAAGCTTGTGATGGAACTACCGTACATGCATTCTCTTTTTATTTGGTTTTAAATATATACGTGTTTTTCAATTAAAAATAAAAAAACGTTGATATTTTCCCTTCTGTGCATGTTTTACTCATCTAAACGCTGCTCTTCCTTGAACCCTGACTTCAGTTGAGTGTTGGGCAACTCTCAGGTTCAAACTTCAGATGAACAGCTCTAATTATGATTACAAAAACAGCAGAAGTTAATAATCATATTATTTAGATAACGCCAGACATATTTTATTTTATTTTTTTCACCAAAATCAGCTGCATACTCTGAGCAAAAAGTCTTGAAACACCAATTACACTTTGGTAACATTACAGACGTGTTTTTGTGCTAATCTTGATGCTTTTTAGAAGAAAATGATCAACTGATCAACCACCTGCCCCACAGGAATACACCATTAAAACACTGAATAAAAGTCAAACAGCACACACAGTTATGATGAAGCAGATAAGCTGGAATGTTTATAGGTAAATTAAATACATAAACTAATATTTAACTCGGTGACTAACACACCATAACAGAAGATCAAAATCATGTTTTAAAGGCAGAAGTGGCACAAAAAGGCCTCAATATTCCACTTTTAAATAAACTTATTTTATATGTGAAATATAATTCCCCCATTCATTTATTCATGAAAAGAATAACAGAATCATGAACATCCTTCAGGACTAGTCATTCTATCAATTTTAACAGAAGTTATAGGATCTGAATGTAGCTTTGCTGGCAAGATGGTTTCCTTCAAAATAAATAAATAAATGGCGTAACAATTGTTGAAGAAATGCCCATCACTAGAGCCGCAGCAGTTTTGGTTACAACAACAACAACAACAACAACAACAACATTTATGTGCAACCTCATGCAATTTTACAGGTCATGCTCAGAGTATGGGTTTAGAAAGACTCTCAGGTACTAATCTCTTAAATTGAGAGTTAATGTTTTGTTGTTGTTTTGTTTTCAAAGGTCACTTGGTTGTGGAAGCCATCTTGAACCGAGTTGGCTCCAAAAGTTAGTCAGTTTCAGCTTTACATCCAAATGCAGACGCAAGCAAAACCATTATATTGTTGGCCTTTCATCAGCGGGTGAGAATTAGATTGTCTTATTGTTGCCTCACCCACTTTGTGGAAGTTTAAAGCAAGCTTTGGTCAAAGTTTGATAAAAGAAAATAAATTGTAAATAAATAAAAAATGTTCTTGATTTGATCATGTTCATGTTTTTTTTTTTATAAAACTGCAAAAAAAAAAAAAAAAAAAAAAAGATAAGTTCGAAAAGCAAACCCAGCGCTGTACCTGCAAATTTCAATTCCATGGAATAAAATTGTGAGGTAAGATTTTCAATTCAATTCAATTCAGTTCAGTTTATTTATATAGTGCTAAGTCGCAACAGAAGTCATCTTAGGACACTGAACATAAACATTCATGTATAAAAATAATTAGTTAACAGAAACATTAATATATATAAAAAGTAACATTATTTATCTGAGGAGCAGACTGCTTTGAGTTTAATTTTATCGCAGACTCTTCTTGAGCAAACATGAAGGCGACAGTGGAAAGGAAAAACTCCCTCATGAGGAAGAAACGTTTAGCAGAACCAGGCTCAGGACAAACGGCCATCTGCTTCGACCGGCTGGGTTTGGTAGGAACAGATACACAATGGCAGGTCAAGAATCACTTGTTAAAATAGAAATAATATAAAATGAAAACTATTCAGTTTTAGCAAATCATTTAAGGAAATGAGGTAAATTTGTCCTCTAGTAGTCTAAGCTTAAGGCAGCATGTCAAGTCAACCCTAACTATAGGATTTATCAAAAAGGAAAGTCTTAATCCCAGTCTTAAAACTGGACAATGTGTCAGCCTCATGGACAGAAACTGGAAGTTGGTTCCACAAGAGAGGAACCTGATAACTGAAAGATCTTCCTCCCATTCTGGTTTTGGAAACTCTAGGAACCACGAGTAAACCTGCAGTCTGAGAGTGAAGTGCTCTGTTAGGAAAATATGGAACAATAAGATCTCAAATATAAAAGGGAGCCAGGTTGTTGAGCTTTGTAGGTTAGAAGTAAAATTTTGAATCCAATTCTGGATTTGACAGGGAGCCAATGGAGCGAAGCTAAAACTGGAGAGATAGGATATCCTTGTAAAAGAGATTGATGATCTCAGTGGATTTATTCCTGGTAAAATAAAGCAATGAAAATAAATAAATAAATAAATAAAAAAAAAAAATAAAAAATAAAAAATATATATATATATATATATATATTATCTCTCTTACTAACTCCAGTTAAGACTCTGGCAGCAGCATTTTGGATCAATTGAAGACTTTTTAAAGAAGAATTTGGACACCCAGATAACAAACCATTGCAATAGTCCAGTCTAGACGTGAGTGAGCTAAGATTTTTTACATTTGGAACCATACGGTGACACAACAGGACTGTGATGAATGTGACTAAACAAATAATCCCAAATGAAAAAAAAAAAATTATAATAATTAAGTTTATTGCAACTCTTCTCTCTAATTTATCTATTTAGCCTGTACTTTTACCAGTAACACAGTTCTTATTGTACTTTTTGCTAGAAGAAAGTCCATAAATTTGAATTTTCAAACAGCTCCTCATAATGTTAATGTTCACTAGGCAATAATGGGATTAATGTCCTAGCCAAAATGGAGCCAAACTGATATACTTCTGACTTAAAATTACTACTTCATTCAGAGTGATTGTTTTTAAAGATTTTAGCTTATGTAGTGAATTGAACAATTTAAAAAATTGCCTGTAAATGGCCATAAATTCAAATTTTTGTTGCCACAAATGGCTCATTGTCTTCTAATTAAAGAGGGATTCAGAAGG